GGTCCCTTGGAGGGTCAGAGTGGGGACACGCTGGGCAACATGGTGAAACCGTCTCTTACAAGGTGGCAGGTGCCTGTAATCCCAGCTATTCGGTAGGCTGAGCAGGAGAATCACCTTGAACCTGGGAGGCGGACGTTGCAGTGAGCCGAGTCGCATCACTGCACTCCAGCCTGGGCGAAGAGGGAGACACTGTCTCAAAAAAAAAAAAAGAAAAAAAAAAGACTAAAGAGCTGTACTACAAGGATTACAAGCGTGAGCCACCGCGCTTGGCCCATCTTCAGTTTTTCTTAATGACACAAGAAAGGGCATTGTGTCATTAAGGAAGGGTATCAGTTCACCTTTCCAAGTAGGATAGTTAAGACACTGAAAAAATTCTCATGTTTCCTTCCATTTTAGTACAGAGTTTGATCTTGAGATCTTCCAAACCAGAGGCTGACAACCAGATCCTGGTTAGACAGCATGAAAATGTCCTACATTGGCCACCAGGGGGAGGGAATAAGCAGTGGGAAGGGTTCACTGGGACGGGTCCATTGATGGTTATTTGGAAAAAACTCAGAGGAGGGTCCCTGTCTCATTTCCACTTCTGAAGGACTATACTTGTTGACTACTCTCCTTTCCCCTGGAGGTGTTGCAGAGGGTGGAAAACGTTTAGTGCTTTCTTTTTTCTTTCTTTCTTTTTTTTTTTTTTTTTTTTGAGACGGAGTTTCAAAAAAACTCCAGCCTATTGCCCAGGCTGGAGTGCAATGGTGCGATCTTGGCTCACTGCAACTTCTGCCTCCCGGATTCAAGTGATTCTCCTGCCTCAGCCTCCCAAGTAGCTGGGACTACAGGCATGCGCCACCATGTCCAGCTAATTTTTGTATTTTTAGTAGAGACAGGGTTTCACCATGTTGGTCAGGCTGGTCTCAAACTCCTGACCTCAGGTGATCGGCCCACCTCGGCCTCCCAAAGTGCTAGGATTACAAGCCTGAGCCACCGCACCCCGCGGTTTAGTGCTTTCTTTTGCAAAACTGAATGAACACGGGTACCCTATAAATGATACAAAACAATAATTTGGTGGTTGATTAAGAGAACCATTGGAGAACATATTTCAAGTTGTAGCCAAGTTTTTTCATCTCTGACCTTCACCACCTGGACTTTTTTTCTAGTCTATAGGAATATACAGAGCGCTGAAGGGTTCGCCTATTGTGTCTGTCTGTGAAGTCCCTCTCTTTCCCCAGATAATAGGTTTTCCTTCACATACCTCCTTTTCATCTTTTGGTCCTCATTTCCCTACTGGAAGCATCCCTCTGAAGGCCTCCAGTGGCTAGCTCTTGGAAAATGTCAAAGTGGATGGGGGAAGAAAAGACGTGGAGGTAAGACCTCTGGATCTTGCTTTCAGCTTTGCCCCTCCAATTCAGTATGTCATAAAAATCCGAGCAATTATTTCCTCTCCCATTCCCTATCTTCTCTATAATTACAGGACTACTAGGAGGATAAAAGCTTCACATCTAGAAAAGCGCTTTGGGCTTTGATTCAGACAGGATAAAATAAGATGTTTTTTGTGGTCTTTTGACTTTTCATTTTAGTCACCCTTTGAATTTCAGCCCAGGGCCTGAAAGGGTCCTAAGCAAAATACGGACTAACAAGGGAGGGATGGGGCACCCAGTTGCTCAAGGGCTTTGCCAATAAGAAGAGTTGAGAATGACAGGTCACATGTAGTGGGAACAATAAGAATCTTGCTGACTTATGAGAAATTCTGCAAGATTGGAAGATGCAATATTCAGATCAGGCTCATGCCCAATAATTTTCTCCACAATATTCAGGGCATTGCTAGCAAAGACAGATGGATCTGGATCCAAATCCCAGCTCTACTAGTTTCTAGAATGCGTGACCATGGGTGAGTAACTTAGCCTCGCTGTACCTCAGCTTCTGTATAAGTAAAATAGCGATAATAATATTTATTTTAGGCCGGGCGCGGTGGCTCAAGCCTGTAATCCCAGCACTTTGGGAGGCTGAGACGGGCGGATCACGAGGTCAGGAGATCGAGACCATCCTGGCTAACACGGTGAAACCCCGTCTCTACTGAAAAAAAAATACAAAAAACTAGCCGGGCGAGGTGGCGGGCGCCTGTAGTCCCAGCTACTAGAAAGGCTGAGGCAGGAGAATGGCGTAAACCCAGGAGGCGGAGCTTGCAGTAAGCTGAGATCTGGCCACTGCACTCCAGACCGGGCGACAGAGCGAGATTCTGTCTCAAAAAAAAAAAAAAAAAAAATTCATTTTATGGAGTCGTTTTAAAGATTAAATGAGTTAATATTTCTAATATCCTTAAAGCAGTGCTTGGTCCAAAATAAAGGCTATATTGTAAAATGAAAATATAAGCCAGGCCTGGTGGCTCATGCCTGTAATTCCAGCACTTTGGGAAGCCAAAGTGGGAGGATCACTTGAGCTCAGGAGTTCGAGACCAGGCTGGGCAATAAAGTGAGACCCCCCCGCCATCTCTTAAAACAAATAAACAAAAAAGAAAATACAGTAATAAGATTGGCAGAAATATTAAATATTTTTTGGAGTGCCTCACACATACTGGTGCTTTTAAAAACATTAGCTCCCTTCCCACTTCATCCCCCATGTGATATTTTTCCTAGAGTTCAAATCATAAAGGAGAACCTTCTGCAAAACCAGAAGAGTACTCTTTCAGGAGGGGTGAGAAATAACAACTGGAAATGAAAGAACACCAGGCCGGAAGCGGGTAGGGGCATCAGCAGAGGACTATGCCAGCCATGAAAAATGGAAAGAGTCTTTCTGGATGGTTTCTCCAGACAAAGGAAGAACAGTGATGAAGAAAATGACCCAATGATGGGGATGAAGGGGGTGAAGAGAGTTGTGTGAGTCCCAGGGATCGCTGCTGTCTAAGGGACAGCTCCTTGGTGGACTGTGGCTTAGGAAATTGGGGGAGGGCAGGAAATGAACGTTAGTAAGAGGGACTGAAAAGGGGGGAGCCCCGGAGCCGAGGAACCGTGAGGGTGAGTGCCTGGCGCCGTGGAACGCCACTAGGGAGGGCAGCGGGTTACCCTGGGGACCTGGGTCCCATGTAGGTTTAAGGAGACGTGTCTAGCGAGGTTTTCAGGGGACAGGCACCAGGAGGCTGCGGTCTGGAGCCAGCACCGGGCTTTGGGGCTCTCTTACCAGCGATTCCTACTCCCCCGTCTCGCCCCGCTGGGCTGCTAGTCCAGCTTGCAACCACACCTGCCGGCCCCCTCCTCGAAGGACGAAGGAGTAACGCTCCCATTGGCTGCCCGACAGCCCCAACCCCAACCCGCGCTCGCCCTAACTTTGGGTCTACCCGGCCCTCATATTTGCATACGGGGCCTTCTAGGCCTTCGATTGGCCCCTGCAGTAGCTGCCATGCCCCCTCCCTCCCGAATCCAATTAACCGCCCAGGCGGTAGGGGAGGGGCGCGCCGACGGTTGTCCCGGGAGACGCGCAGGACGCGCGCACAGCGCACGCGGGCGCCAGGGGCTGGACAGCCGGTCGCCCCCGCCGTCCTACCCGTGCCCAGCGAGCGGAGCCGCAGCCCCAGCCCACCCGCGCCAGTGCCGTCGGGCGTCTTGCGCGGGCGCGGCCGGAACGTCTGGCTCCAGAGGTCCTGCTGCGCTGGGCTGCGGTGAGGGAGGGGGGCACTTTGAATTTAGGCCTTCAGGAGAGGGCAAACCTGAAGCAGGAGGCCATGTGGGAAAACTTTGGTTGGAGACTTAAATCAGCATCTCAGACAAATTAGTGCCAGTGTGACCTTGGGCAGGCCACATTACCTCTGTGAGACTTAGCTTCTTCAACAGGAAAATGCGCATTGCAAACCTGTCATGACCGCTCAGGTGTATTGAATCCTGACCTCACCTCCAGAGGGTGGGGGGTCATGGCCTCCAGTGAACTGATCAGTAAGAAAAGGCCGCCTAGACCGACTGAAGAGTCAGTGAGACTTAAGGAGTCAGGGGTCTGGGCTTCTCAGAGCAACCATTTGGTCCTCAGGTGGAGAATCTGTAGTAGTGACTGGATTCAAATCATTGTAGACGGCCGGGCGCGGTGGCTCACGCCTGTAATCCCAGCACTTTGAGAGGCCTACTGGTGGATCGCTTGAGCTCAGGAGTTCAAGACCAGCTAGGCGACATGGCGAAACCCCCTCTCTACTAAAAATACAAAAATTAACCGGGCGCGGTGCGCGCGCCTGTGGTCCCAGCTATCTGGAGGCTGAGGCGGGAGAATAGTTTGAACACGGGAGGCAGAGGTTGCATTAAGCTGAGATCGTGCCACTGCACTCCAGCCTGGGCAACAGAGGGAAACTCTGTCTCAAATAAATAAGTAACCATTGTTCATTTGGGCCTGGGGTGGTAACCTAAATTCCTGCCAACACAGATCCCCTTCATCTGCTGCTGTGCACAGGCAGAACACCAGAGGCAAGGGTGTAGCTCAGCCCCAAGCCGACCCTGGAAGCCTACTACGTGGTGCTTACAGTTACCCCGGAGTGAAGAGAGGGCCCAAGGTGGAACCAGTGGCCCATCTGCCGCTCTTTCAGAAACCCCTCTGCCATTCAGTCAGCCCTCTTCTCTTTTCCCTCTGCAGGTGGGCCCCGTGCTGTGGTGCCCCTCCCCCCGGGCCCTAAGGGGCCAGGTGACCATCATCAACTGGTCACCCAGCAGATGCTTCCCTAAGACCAACTGTCCCAGCCCTGTTCCCCTCCCCCATCCCACTGTTTTCTTTCCCCAGCGTCCTACCAATCTGTTCTGCCTAGCTCCTGTTTGGTCTCCGGTCCCTCAGGAGTGATATTGTGATGGAAATGAGGGAGAGGATGCAGGAGAGAGCAGCAAAGATTTACGGCTTTCAGAGGGTTTCCATTAAAATCCCTGACAACCGGTTATTTATGAGAGGATGCAACGGGAGCTCATAGGTCAGAGCCTGGCACTACTGTCCTTTCGTGGCTGATGACAGGAGCAAACACAGGGTGAACAGTGGAGCTGCCCTCACTGTACAGCAAAGAAAGCTTCAACCCAGTGACAGCCAGGAAAGCAGAGAATATCAGTGATTTGTGCCTGGCAAACCCTAAACAGACAAATCCACAGGGTAAATACTGAGGGACTTACTGGGCATGAAAAACTGAACCAGAATGATGGAGGCTCCTAATTGTCAAAAAATTTGGACCATGTCCTAGGAGCTCTCAGAGGCAAGAGTGTGTGGAAAAATCCAGGTGCAACCCTGTTGTTTTCACTGTTGTTTTGTTCCTAAGGCACCCACCTGACTAAATAAATAGTAAAACAACAGTAAAACCTCCGTAAGGTTGTTTGCTCTGCACTTCACACACAGCCTTTTCTCAGTTTGGGGTTCTTCCTTCAAGTAGTTAATGAAACAAAGACAGATCCTACTTCTGCTCACTGAACCAAGGTCCCTCCTAGAAGCCCTTTCTTCCTATGCCAGTCAAAATTATTATTATTATTATTATTTTTGAGATGGAGTCTTGCTCTGTTGCCCAGGCTGGAGTTCAGTGGTGCGATCTCAGCTCACTGCAACCTCTGCATCCTGGGTTCAAGCAATTCTCCTGCCTCAGCCTCCCGAGTAGCTGGAATTAGACACCTGCCACCACACCTGGCTAATTTTTGTATTTTTAGTAGAGACGGGGTTTCACCATGTTGGCCAGGCTGGTCTCAAACTCCTGACCTTGTGATCTGCCCTCCTCAGTCTCCCAAAGTGGTGGGACTACAGGCGTGAGCCACTGCGCCCGGCCAAAATAATTTTATTTTGGTTTTTTTTGAGATGGAAAAAAACTTGCTCTGTCACCCAGGCTAGAGTACAGTGGCATGGTCATGACTCATTGAAGCCTCAAACTCCTGGGCTCAAGCAATCCTCCTGAGTAGCTAGGATTACAGGCTAAGATTACCACCATGCCTGGCTGATTTTTTAAAAAACAATTTTGCAGAGACAGGATCTTCTTTTGTTGCCTCTCAAAAGGTTGGGATCACAGGTGTGAGCCACCATGCCCAGCCAAAATAAAGTCTTGATATGTGTACCAGGAATGAGATAAGGAGTGGGAATGAGGCAAGGATGCTTAGGTAAAATTTTGCATACCCCAGATTTGTTTTGCTTTAAGTCTGCAGTGCATGAGAGAATGTCGTAGAAGTGTGTATAATCACAGAATCGGGCTTCTTTTAAATCAGAAGAGTTATTGGAGACCTCCATGGCATTTGTCCTGTTTTCAGATGAGGAAGCTGAGGCCCAGGAAAGTGAGATGGCTTGCTTAAGGCTTGCAGTAGGGTCATAGAGTCCACTACCCCATCCTCCATACACTCCATTATTAGTGAAATAGAAATAGCAATAGAAACTGCTGCCAAGCACCTCTTCTGAATCCTCTCCATTTTGATTAGTAACTGTATCTGATGGGGCTGAAAGAGCCCCTGGACAGGGGACTGCCCACCCATGAGCAATGGAGCTTCCAGGTTTCTGGGGTTTTTTTGTTTTTGCTTTTGTTTTTTTGAGATGGAGTCTTGCCCTGTCACTCAGGCTGGAGTGCAGTGGCACAATCTCGACTCTCTGCAACCTCCACCTCCCGGGTTCAAACGATTCTCCTACCTCAGCTTCCTGAGCCTCCCAAGTAGCTGGGACTACAGGCACCTGCCATCACGCCTGGCTAATTTTTGTATTTTTGGCAGAGATGGGGTTTCGTCATGTAGGTGCCTCAGCCTCCCAAATGCTAGAGTTACAGGCGTGAGCCACCGCACCCAGCTAATTTTTTTGTATTTTTAGTAGAGATGGTGGTTTCGCCATGTAGGCCAGGATGGTCTCTAACTCCTGACCTCAGGTGATCTGCCCACCTCAGCCTGCCAAAGTGCTGGGATTACAGGCAGGTTTCTGTTTTTATTTTGCCTTTCTTCTTCATCCTCCTCCACCTTCTGGGAAAACAAACTTCCCCGTTCATAGATTTTTTTTTTTTTTTTTTTTTTTGAGGCGGAGTCTCGCTCTGTCGCCCAGGCTGGAGTGCAGTGGCGCGATCTCGGCTCACTGCAAGCTCCGCCTCCCGGGTTCCCGCCATTCTCCTGCCTCAGCCTCCCAAGTAGCTGGGACTACAGGCGCCGCCACCACGCCCGGCTAATTTTTTTGTATTTTTAGTAGAAACGGGGTTTCATTGTGTTAGCCAGGATAGTCTCGATCTCCTGACCTCGTGATCCGCCCGTCTCGGCCTCCCAAAGTGCTGGGATTACAGGCTTGAGCCACCGCGCCCGGCCCATAGATTTTTTTTTGTTGTTTTTCTTTTTGCCCTGTAAGGAAACAACATGGCTGTGTTTAAAGCATCCTTGTCTTGGTATAGATGGCCTTCAGACAAGTTCCATAGAAAGTGCCCTGATTAGCTGGGCGCAGTGGCTATGCCTGTAATCCCAGCACTTTGGGAGGCCGAGGGGGGCGGATTACTTGAGGTCAGGAGTTTGAGACCAGCTTGGCCAACATGGTGAAACCTCATCTCTACTAAAAATACAAAATTTAGCCTGGCATGGTTGGCAGGCGCTTGTTAATCCCAGGTACTCAGGAGGCTGAGGCAGGAGAATCGCTTGAACCTGGGAGGCACAGGTTGGCAGTGAGCCGAGATCTTGCCACTGCACTCCAGGCTGAACGACAGAGCGAGACTCCGTCTCAAAAAAAAAAAAAAAAAAAAAAAAAGTTTGTTTGGGCACCGTGGCTCATGCCTGTAATCCCAGCACTTTGGGAGGTCAAGGCAAGCAGAGTGCTTGTGTCCAGGAGTTCAAGACCAGCCTGGACAATATGGAGAAACCCCATCTGTGCTAAAAATACAAAAATCAGCTGGGTATGGTAGTACACACCTGGAGCCCCAGCTACTTGGAGGCTGAGGGAGGAGGATCGCTTCAGTCTGGGAGGTAGAGGCTGCAGTGAGCCGAGATCACGCCACTGCACTCCAGCTTGGGTGACAGAGTGAGACCCCAGATCAAAAAAATAAAATTGGGCCCGGTGCAGTGGCTCACACCTATAATCCCAGCACTTTGGGAAGCCGAGGCAGGCGGATCACTTGAGGTCAGGAGTTTAAGACCAACCTGGCCAACATGTTGAAACCCATCTCTACTAAATATACAAAAATTAGCTGGGTGTGATGTCGGGCACCTGTAATCCTAGCTACTCGAGAGGCTGAGGCAAGAGAATTACCTGAACCCAGGAGATAGAGGTTGCAATGAGCCAAGACGGTGCCATTGCACTCCAGTGTGGGCAAAAAGAACAAAACTCCGTCTCAAAAAAAAA